TTTTCCTATCTGCACAAAAATTAACGTTGCGCCTTGCTATTCTAAAAAATTTTGCTATAAGCTTAAGCTGAATACGGATCAACTGACTACTTTAAATTCTATGCTCAAGAATTCTATCAATATAATTTCAGGAAAAGAAACCTTGGACGTCACTTCGCAATACAACCTATTCGTTGAACATGTTCAATCCTCAGCCAGAGGATTACTCCCACCGGACAAGGGCGTGCCACATAGTAAGATAAACTCCTGTCGTTTGAAATCACCTCCTTGGTGGAACGATGACTGTGATACTGCAGTCAAAGAAAGGAGAAAGGCGCTCAAAAGGCTCGCCGAGTGCCCTGACAGAGCTCGTCTCGATGATTTTAAGTCTGCTAGGAGAAGGTGTTCAGAATGCATACAGGAGGCTAAACGAATTGGTTGGAGGAAACTTGTTGGCAGTTTTAATTGCAAAACTTCAACGCACCGCATCTGGTCTCTTATTAAAAGTTTCAGGCGTAACAAAAACCCTCCCTCGAACCAGGACAATAATCTTGACACGGTCTCACTGGCTGCCATCGAAAAACTATGTCCTCCCTTTTGTCCATATAACGACCACAAACATATTGAGGATATGAAACGTGAAGATCTTCTTCAACATAATACACAACAATGGTTGGAAGAACCCTTCTCAAGAGTCGAACTTACTAGGGCTATCAATGTGGCTAAAAAACGTTCCGCCCCAGGCTTGGATCAAATAGATCATTCCATCATCTCCAGTCTTCCCGATGAGTATATTACCAGACTACTTGAATTGTACAATCAAATACTAGCACAGGGAGTTATACCGGACTCTTGGAAGGATTCCCTAGTCGTTCTTGGCTTGGATCAAATAGATCATTCCATCATCTCCAGTCTTCCCGATGAGTATATTACCAGACTACTTGAATTGTACAATCAAATACTAGCACAGGGAGTTATACCGGACTCTTGGAAGGATTCCCTAGTCGTTCTTATTCCTAAAACCGATGGGAAGTCTGTGCGCCCAATTTCTCTTCTCTCATGTTTTGCCAAATTAATGGAATACATGATATACTTTAGACTTAGATGGTTTATTGAATCACGTCCTCTTCTTCCACAAACGCAGTCAGGCTTCCGACCAACCAGGTCTTGCATAGATAACCTCGTGACTCTCACCTCTAATATCAGAACAGGCTTTATTAGGAGATCTCCTACCGTAGCAGTATTTCTCGATATTGCGGGAGCTTTCGACAATGTTATACCTCACATTCTAATTAGGGACTTGTATGAAATTGGCATTCCCGCCTCTATTAGAAAATTCATTGAAAATTTCATCTCTATGAGACGTCTGCATTTCGTGGTAGACGGTTCTCTCTTAGGACCGTTTAATTCTTATAAGGGCACACCTCAGGGCTCCACACTCAGTCCTGCGCTTTTCAATATCTACCTTAAAGATATCAACGATCACATTCATTCAGATTCTCGTATTTTGCAATACGCTGACGATGTTGTCATATATTCCACCTTAAGAAACATTGACTCAGCTATCTCATCCGTGCAAAAATCGATTGATAACATTTATACATATTTAAGATACAGAGGTCTCGAACTGTCACCGTCTAAATCGAGATATATGATATTTTCTCGCATCAAAAGTTGCTCAGAGGATCCTAATATTCAAATCTCTAACACACATATCCCCAGAGCTTACACACATAAATTCCTGGGGGTTGTCTTAGATGACAAGCTGTCGGGTATTCCACAGCTAAAGGCCCTCATAGAGAGAGGTAAGAATATTGCCAATATAATTTCTTCTTTGGCCGGAGTCAAATGGGGTTCACATCCCGACGTGCTGTTTACGATATACAGGGCAACTCTTAGAAGTGCTATCGAATATGGAGCTCAGATCTTTACATGGAATCCGGAGTCTGAAAACTTTGTTAAACTTCTCAGAATTCAGTATAAGGCTATTAGAAAGGCTATGAGATATCGGATTTCCACCCCCATTAATGCCATGCTGAGCGAGGCAAGGGAACCTCCTCTACACTTAAGATTTTCCTATATCACATCCAAATATATATACAAAGCTATGGCTAACAAATTTAGTACATCATATGAAGCCCTTAAAGAACTGGAACTTACAGCCATCCAAAAAAACCAGAAATTGAAGACCATCAAAAGTTCTAATCTATTCAAGTCTTATATTACACATCTTCCAGACAAGAAAATTACACATCGCACCACATACCCTCCAGCCTTCTGGCACGAATTTGAAGTCATGGCCAACCCTATCACTTATATCGGCAACATGCTTCTCTTTCATTCAAAGGACGATCCCCACGCTACGGCTGCCATTTTTTACGAGATTTCACTAGAATACAGAATAGATGCCATTTCTATTTACACAGACGGTTCCAAGGAACCTGACAGTGCTGTCGGAGCTGGAGTATACTCCCCCGATCTGAATATCAGCATTAAACACAAGCTACCAAGCGAAACCTCTATTTTCTCAGCGGAGCTTTGGGCTCTTTACCAAGCCGTCCTCCTCGCCAGAGATTGTGGAAGCAACAAAGTTGTCATTTTTTCAGACTCCAAGAGTGCGCTGGATGCAGTCAGCAATCATCACTACATACAGAACAACTACATTGTCTACTACATCAAGCAAAACATTCTTCTGGCCATGCAGCAGGGAATCACAATCACCCTTTTCTGGATCCCATCTCACGTGGGTATTCCGGGAAATGAAAAAGCGGACGAAACAGCCAAATCTGCCTCTCTAACGGGACTCTCCACAGCCTTCAGGATTCCATACGAAGACCTATACACTGTATCTAAGGAACGATTGCATTGTAGATTTACTGAATATCTTAATTCATCTGCTAGATATAAAGGCGCTCTCAATCATGAATACTTCCCTAGAACTTCCTCCAAACCTTGGTTCAACGATCTATCTTGGAGTAGAAATGAGATTGTTATGATCAACCGACTCAGATCTAACCACTACAATCTCAATAGCAGCCTACACAGAGTGAATATAGTGGAATCTCCTGCTTGCCCCTGTGGGAATAATAATCAAGATATCAATCACGTAATTTTTCAATGTGAAGTATATAAACAAAACTCTCTCCATCTACGAAACTACCTTAAATCCAAATTTCCCCAACACCCTGAAAACATATTTCCCGCCCTATCCAATCCCTCTCCTAAGCTCTGCAGGCTCCTCACGACATTCGCGGGAGCCTCCGATCTGTTCTTTTAGTGGTACACTCCCTTCCACATGACGCGCGACCACCGCTGGGTGGCAGCAGGCGCCTGGTTTGGGAGTGTCCCCCCCAATCTTCGATTTATCCACCTCGCCTTTTAATACAGTCCATTACCCATCAACACTGCGCGGACACTCAATGGCTCAGTACCAACCTGTTCGGTTGCGGAGCCAATCAAAAGAAGAAGAAGAAGAAGGATAGCGCTGTTGATGTCCTGCA